GTGGTGGAAACAACTCAAACGTCTGTTGACAAATGGATAAGCAAAATGCTTACACATGCAATAGAACGTTATTCCGCCTTAAAAAGGGAGGAAATTCTATCACATACTACAACACCGATGAACCTTGAAGACAGTATGCTAACAGAAATACGCCAGTCACAAGAAGATAAATGCTATATGATTCCACTTATATGGAGTATCTAAAGTGGTCAAATTTCTAGAAACTGAAAATAAAATGGCAGTTACCAGGGACTGGGGGAAGAGAAGAAAGGGGAGTTATTGTTTAACGGATGTAGAGTTCCAGATTTGCAAGACGAAAAAGCTCTAGAGATCGCCTTCCCAATGATGTGAGTCTACCTAACACTACTAACACTTAAAAATGGTTAACATGGTACATTTTATGTTATACGTTTTTACCACAATAAAATAAATGGTATTGTTTTTCTGATACTCATCATTACCAAGCATTCAGTGAAATTAAAAATTTTATCTACATTATGAATTACATATGGATTCTAACATGGGAATTTTTTACTTTTTGAGATAACACAGGCTTTTGCTTTTCTTTAAACTCCTCCACCCTTTGCCCTTTAAAATGCGAACAAAAATGACATGGTGAGTATGTGTCGCCAGCTGAAAAAGAGTAAATCCAGTTATGTAGGAATGTTCATTCTAAATGAAAATCAATTCCATACAACTCTAGATGAGATATTTCCTCAGGAAGCACTGGAAGAAGAGTTACTAACACATTCTTCTTCTCTTCATCAAGGCATAATCTTGGCTGTAACTAAAAACTAAAAAACAGCCCAATAGAAAGAAATATAATAACCTCAGTTTGAAAGACAGAATCACACTCAAATAACTGCAATTTTTAATTTCAATGAATGCTTCAATCAATGTATGATTATGAGAATAACATTTCACATTCAGAATTTAAATTGATTCTTAATTAACAATAAGTAGTTTCATGTTTGTTTTTAATTATTTCTAAGCTGTTATTTCAAACAAACAATATCACATTCTTGAAGGCAAACCTCTTACTTTTATCTCCCTACAGATTAGTCCAGTGCGTGGCATAAAATGATGCTAAACAAATTTTTTTTTCAAATAACTGTATAAGAATACCTGATTTTTAGCAATGTATAAAACTTTATTGAAACTAAGCACTTCTGTATAATGAGCTATCAAGCATAACCAAGGTGATCAATTCTATGATTTTATGCTCACCTCTACCGGTTACCCTTTCCTGCTCCCAATCACTGACTCACTCCTAATCATCCTCAACCCTATGGCGACCATGCCAAAGCTTCTTTTTTTTTTTTTTTTTTTGAGACAGGGTCTGGCTCTGTTGCTCAGGCTGGAGTGCAGTGCAGTGGCATGATCTCAACTCACTGCAACCTCCGCTTTACAGGTTCAAGCGATTCTTGTGCCTTAGCCTCCCAGGCAGCTGGAACTACAGGTGCGTGCCACCATGCCCAGCTAATTTTTGTATTTTCTGTAGAGACAGGGTTTCACTATGTTGCCCAGGCTAGTCTCAAATTCCTGAGCTCAAGAGATCTGCCTGCCTCGCCTCCCAAAGTGCTGGGATTACAGGCGTGCACCAACACGGCTGGCTGCTTCTTCACTCTGAAGTCTCCAGCACCTTTCTCTACTTCCTTACTTTTGTGGTGCCTTGCTCTATTTTTCTGCAAAGACTGAAACCCACAATTTTTCTCTTCTTCACTTCAACATTTCTGTTTTTACCCTGCTCTTCTCTGGACTCAATGGATACAAGTCTTCCTCTTTTTCACCCAGGTTCTCTGTCACTATTTCTACTCTAGTAGAATCAGTCTCCTCACCTGGCTCATCTTCAAGAAATTATCCTAGGAAGCACAAACCAACCCAATTTCTATTAGTTCCTTCTCCTCTCAGCCTCCAAAGTACTTCATGTGTATCATACTGAGTATTATATCCCAGCTAATTACATCTGACCTTTTGGATATGTCTTTTACTACAGGTCTTTTTATCTATGTCTTTATTGCCAAAAATGATATTTATAAGCTATTTTGGGGCAAAGACTGTCTTCTGCTTTACCACATGAAAAAGGTCTGTTTACCATATGCCATTCAAATACTTTTTGATCATGGAATAAGTTTGCTCAAAAAGGAACTTTTCAGCTGGGTGCAGCGGCTTATGCCTGAAATCCCAGTGCTCTGGGAGGCTGAAGTAGGGGCATCACTTAAGGTCAGGAATTCGAGACGAGCCTGGGGAACACTGTGAGACCCTGTATCTACAAAAATAAAAAATAAACAAAAAATTTTTAAAATGAACTTTTCTATGACTCCCATTGTATTCATCATTGTACTGAATGTACCGACCCTTTCACTTGACTTTATTTAATGTATTTATTTTTCTCATTCTCTTATATAACATCTCTAATTTCTTCTTTCAGTTTCAACATCAGTCACTAAGGCTGGCACTTTCTATTAATAATAAAAATGGTCACCATTCCTGAATATCCAATTCCTGCCAGATACTATGCTAGATAATCTACACATATTAACTCTAATCTTCACAATGATCATGCATTTTACAGAGGAGGAAACTCAGGCTCAAAGGGATTAGGTACCTTGTCCTCCAGTCTTTCTCCCTCCAATCAATCTTCTACCCTTCAGTCACAGTGATCTTCCTACAACCAAAATTAATCATGTTATTTCCCGCACCTAAAGCTCTTTAAGGCTTCCTACTATCTTAATGTCTAGATTCCTTAACCAGGCATAAGGTAACCTTTAGGATACCTCTTTTCTTACCACTCCTGACACTGCTTTCAGTTCTTGACCAATGTCATGCTTTCTCCTTCTGCCTCTGGACTTGGCATGGAGTGCCCTTATTCATTCATTCAACAAATGTGGCATGTGCCAACTATGTGCCTGGCATTGTACTTGCAGCTGGGCACACGGCAGTGAATGAAACAGACATAGGTCCTGCCCTCAAGGTACTTACAATCTAATGGAAAAAACAAATAATAAATACAGATTGTAATAAGTAAAATGACAGAAGCAGGATGCTGTATTCCAGAACATGTAGGGTTGGGGGGTGCAAGAGAAATCACAGTGACTGTTTTAGATAGTTTGGTCTCTTAAGGTCTCAGGTGGTGACATACTTTAAAACCTAAAGATTAAGTCAGCTATGTGAAAAGCGAGAGGGGAGGTGAGTGACAAGAGATCCTGCTAAAGACATCAGCAGAGCCCAAACCAAGGCCACGGTTAAGAGTCTGGGTTTTATTCTAACTTCTAAGGGCAATGTAATTCACTGAAGAATTTTACATAAGGAAGAGTCACTTTTTGCTGCTGAATGGAGAAGGGATTAGAGGGGTACAAAATAGAAAACAGAGACACAAGTCAGGAAGATACAGTAGTAGCTGAGGTGAGAAAATGCGGATGATTTGAAGTGGGTCTGATAGTGAAGGAGGAAAAAAGTAGACAGATTAGATGCAGAATTGACCTGACTTGCAAAGTCATCACCTGAAATTAAGAAAGAGGCAGAGAGAGGTTATAGAGTTTGGGGATTTGTCATTGGAGAAAGTCGGTAGGCTCACTAGAGAAACAGAGGATCAAAGGGATCTCAAGCCCATACTGGCTGAATATTCAAGAGTTTGGCCATTTTCACTTTATACGGTCATCAATTTGTGCAGGACTTTTTCCAGCAAAGTTCAGGCGCATAGTGCAGGTAGAAAGTGGGCAAAAGGTTGACTTCATCCAGAGTAAGAGTTTTGTCAGAAAAAGGTGCAGGAAGGGACAACAGAATTTCAAAGGAACGATATACATTCTGGATAAGGGGGTGCAGTGGATAGAAAATGGAAAAATCAATGCAATGGAGGTATAGATGAAGGTCAAGAATTGTCTCCCTAGTAGAAAGTGGTCAGATAGTAGAAGGCTATAATTTGTTTCTTCTGCTTGGAATGGGGGTTCAGCAAACTATCTGATCCCTAAATACATCCATCCTTTTCTGCTCCTTGACTTCTTGAACCCAGCACCACTACCTGAGTTTGCCACCATCTCATCCAATCAGAAAGGCTCACCTCAGCGGATCACAGGGTCAAGAAATCGAGACCATCCTGGCCAACATGGTGAAACCCCGTCTCTACTAAAAATACAAAAATTAGCTGGGCATGGTGGCGCGCTTGTAGTCCCAGCTATTCGGGAGGCTGAGGCAGGAGAATTGCTTGAACCTGGGAGGCAGAAGTTGCAGTGAGCCAAGATCGCCCCACTGCACTCCAGCCCGGTAACAGAGCGAGACTCCGTCTCAAAAGAAAAAAAAAAAAAAAAAAGGCCGACCTCAAACTATTCCCTCCTTGAAGCATTTATGTTCTCTCCACTGAGATCCCTCCTCCTGATAACAACCCTCACAGAGTGTACTACTGGTAGAATAGTTCAGGTGAACATATAGTAAGTCATTCTTTTCCCTTTCTAGGCTCCTTTGGAAAAGGTATTGTTATAAATATTCAAAAGTCTCTGGATCCCGCGACAGTATCCAGAACAGAGCGCTGCACGGTGCAATCATTCAATAAATAATAACAGGGATCTCAGGCTCATGGGTCTCCAAACCTCATCTCCACTTGCTAAACCAGGGTTCACTGAAATAGAATAAAAATCCCTGTTCACAAGTCTCAGATAACTCCCATTAATCTCAAAGGTTGCCTTCAATTTCACAAATTTAATTTTAATCCCAACATTCAAAACACCCCTATTTAGCTAACGATGGGCAAATATAAAACAAAACAAAACAAACACCCCATGCGTGAAACAGCACTGGTAGGCTACCCTATGACGATCAAAAATCTGGATGCCACAATTCGAGAAATGCCACGCTCGCTAGAAAATACAGAATTTTCTTCATAGTCCAATGCAAGGCCAGAGAGACCTGGGACGGGGCTAAGGCAAACGGCCCCACGAGGGGTGCCACGAGAGTCAACTGGTATTGGGTTTGTACTCAGGGTCTGACCTCAGCCTGGCACCTACCTTCCTCCCCTCCAGCCCCAGCTGCAAGGATCACAGGAGTGGTCGCCTCGGAGCCTGCTGCCATGGCTACCGCAAGGCGGGTTCTGCCGGAACCCAAGGCGGAGCGGAGCTGGGGTGGGGTCAGGGTAGGGACCAAGCTCCGGGACCCGAAGCTGCACCACAGGAAGGAGCCCCGGCGACTCCCGCCCGCCTCCTACGGAAACGCAGGCGCTCACGTGGAGGTCACGTGATGGATGCTGGGCGGGACCACGCAGCTTTGTTTTGATACCCCGGGTGTGGAAATACGAACACGTGGTCTGAGTTGTGGCGCTTTTTTACCTAACCCGGACCTTAGGCTTCTTTCCTGTAGTTTTAGCTTCGTTTCTGTGTCTCCTTTTCTAGTCAGATCCTTGCTTTCCGCCTCGGCTTTTCTCCACCCTAGATGATTGGAGTTTTAGGGGAAGGTTTGACGCTTTATGGGGCTCCGGCGGTGGGATGGGTCTCTGACTTCAGCTTTCGCGAGCCGCTCTTGGCAGCCTTGAAGGCGAGGCTAGCTCACGCTTCTCTTACACCTCTCTTGCCCTTCTGGTAGCAACCTGACTTCTTCTAATTTTAGTGGCTGCCGGGAAATACGAACCTCGGGCAAAGAATCCTGTGATTGCGTTCCCTGTGACTCATTTCCCGATGCAGACAAGCCAAATTGCTTGACTTAGGTTTTCAAGGACACTAATCCACAGCTGTCAGGCTTCTGGATTTGTATACCAAAATAAACAGCTGTGTGAAGAGATCAACAACCACCTTTCTTCTCGTTTACCCTGTGGTCAAATCATAATCACTGGAGATGGATCTGGGTCACTTTGGGGCAAAAATCTTACAACTTTACTGGACATACCTTTATTGCTCGCCTATTAAGTGACAGACGAAATGGGTAAAAAAAAGTTTACATATATATGAATGGAATTGGCTAGTTTGCAATCTCCTCTTTGGATATGTAAGACAAAAAAAAATAACAAAAATAGGCAGTACTTATTGTACATAAATGATTTTTATGAGATAATCCCCTGGGACCAACTACGCCTAAATCTTATCCTCTGCCTATAATTTCTGAAGTTATTAACTCAACAAAAATAAGAATAAGCCCAAAATAGACGCAAGCATTAGGTTAAGTGAGCACAGGTCACTGAGTTGTTTATTACGCACAAGATCTAACTTGGACACTTCCTCCAAACACCCCAGGGTTCCTTGCCCAACCTCCTCGAATACAGCCTCTCTGCAAGTTTCCCTCTCCCCGACTCAGCCGCGCTTGTCCCTGCCTTTTCAGCGCTACCTGCCCTCAGTCTGGGACCTGGCTCCTTTCCTCTCGCCGGTGTCTCCTAGCCACCGGCGGAGTGGAGGGCGGACACCAGCCTCCTTGCCGCCTGCCCCGCCTCCCCGCCGGCCCGGCTCGGGCCGCGCAGGCGCACGAGGCGCGGCCCGGAGGCCGAGGGCGACCACAGCAGCCTCCGCCTCCCACTGCTCCGTACGATTCTGCCCTGGGCTAGTCGGCGGTGACCTGGACTGAGCCCGGCATTGGCTTCGCGCGCGACGCGTCGCCATGGGCTCTCGTTGGAGCAGCGAAGAGGAGAGGCAGCCGCTGCTGGGGCCCGGGCTCGGGCCTGGGCTGGGGGCCTCCTGGAGAAGCCGGGAGGCGGCGGCGGCGCTGCCCGCGGCGGTCCCCGGTCCCGGGCGGGTGTACGGGCGCCGCTGGCTGGTGCTGCTGCTCTTCTCGCTGCTGGCGTTCGTTCAGGGCCTGGTCTGGAACACCTGGGGTCCCATCCAGAACTCGGCGCGCCAGGCCTACGGCTTCTCCAGCTGGGACATCGCGCTGCTCGTGCTGTGGGGGCCCATCGGCTTCCTGCCCTGCTTCGCATTCATGTGGCTCCTGGACAAGAGAGGTGAGGGGTCGGGGAGCGCCAGCCCGCGCTGTCTCCTCGGGGAGCCGGCGCCTGCCCGCGCTCCAGGCCTGCCAGCCGCCTCCCTTGGCCCCGGCATAGGGGTTGTGTGAGGTGATGGAGTGTTGCTAGCATTCCATTTCTGATTTAGGAACCCTCCGTCCCCAAAGCGACAAATGTGGGAAGGCTACCTTGCAAATGTTTATGTTTTTATCAGGCCGTTTATGCAACACCAGGGATTTAAGCGATCTCTAAATGTTCAAGTTTTTACATATTGTGAACATCAGAGCATGCCCGTGCACGTGCAGTGTGTTTTACACCTGACAAAAATGACTGATGCTTTGACTTCAAAGGGATTTGGGGATGTTGAGGGTGAAAAGGTCGGAAAATAGATTGATGGTGCCCAGATGTAAGGAAATAATGAGTTGGTTTTGTGTAATAAATGACTTCAGCCCAGGAAGAGCTATTGGGAAACTCAGATCTGACACTTTGGTTTCTGGAAGGTGGTACTCGGCAGCTTTAAAATGTGTGTATGTGGCTTTCTCAGTTGAGAGTTGCGACTTTCAATTAAAGCTTGCAGATGAGTGAAGATGCTTTCTTAGAATGGTACCCTCGACATCTCTCTTTACCACTTGTCAGTGTGATTCTCTGAGGAGAAAAAAAAAAAAAAAAAAAAAAGCCATAGGACTGAGAATCAAGGCATACGTACCACATAAGTATGGATAAATGATTAGTAGTGACAGTCTACCCTCAAGAGGCTGTTGTGCAAGATTTTATATTTATTAATTGAATAATGCTTGGGAGCTACTTTGTACAGTTTCTGTTCAACGTTTTATAAGTTTTGTTGCAATGAGTTCTTTAGTCAGATTTAGAAGGTTGTCTTAGTTCACTGGAGCTGCTATAACAAAATACCATAAACAGGGTAGTTCTTAAACACAGAAATTTATTTCTCACAGTTCTGGAGGCTGGGAAGTCCAAGATGAAGGCTCAGGCAAAATTGGTGTCTGGTGAGGGCCTGCTTCCTACACAGTGGTCTTTTCATTATAACATAAGATGGAAGAAGGGGTTGGGGATCCCTCTGAGGTCTGTTTCATACAGGCAGTAATCCAATTCACTTGGGTTCCACCCTCATAACCTAATCACCTTCCAAAGTCTGCACCTTCTTATTCCATCATTTTGAGGGTTAAGATTTCAAAATGTGAATTTGAGGCCAGGCACAGTGGCTCAAGTAATCCCAGCACGTTGGGAGGCTGGGGTGGGAGGATTGCTTGAGCCCAGGAGGTCGAAGCTGGAGTAAGCTGTGATGGCACCACTGCACTCTGCCCTGGGTAACAGGGCAAGACTCGTCTCAGAAAAATAAATGAATAAACAAAATATGAATTTGAGGGGAACACATTCAGACCTCAGCAAAAGTCAAGTGTAGGTAGGTATAGAATTGCAATTGTCTGACATGTAGTTAGCACTCAAAATTAGTTGGTTATTAAGAGAATAATAATGGCAGGGTCATGTTAGTAGCTGTGCTTCCTTCTCTCCTCCTCCACTGGAATTACTTCATTGGAATCCATGTGAAAAAGACTAAGGAATAGTTGACTGTAAATTCCTTAATGATCAACAATGTAACGTAGCTGCTAAAAAAGAAAGGACAGTTTTAGGCATAGAAGCATGGTGTCCAAAACAAGAAGCGAAATAGTTTGATAGGCTCTACATTAGTGTTTAGTTCTGAGCTTGATTCTGAGAAGGCCATTTGACAAACTGCAGAACTTTGAAGGTTCTGCCACAAGAATGATAAAGGGTATAAAAATCATGATGTGTAAAGTGAAGGGAACTTGGGTATATCACACTTCAAAAAGAAACTTGAGGCAAAATATAGACTGTGAAGATCAAGTAAAAGAGTAATTAGACTTATGTGTAGTTCTAGAAGGAAGAACTAGACTGAGTCAAGTTACAAAGGAATGTAACTCAAAACAATACAAGGAAGGACCTTCTAACAAAGATATCCAGCCCTGAATGGGTGTGTCTTGACAGCTGTAGAACTTCCAGCTACAGCAAATACTTTTGCAGAAGATGTGTACTAGATACCGAGGAAGGGCTTCTCCTACCAAATGGAGATTTTCTTTGGGTTTTTGTTGTTTGCTTTTAAACTAAATATTGATTTTCTTTGGGTTTCTGCTGGGCTCAGTGGCTCACGTTTGTAATCTCAGCACTTTGGGAGGCTGAGGTGGGTGGGTCACTTGAGCCCAGGAGTTAGGGACCAGCCTGGGCAACATGGTGAAACTCCGACTCTACAAAAAATACAAAAATTAGTCGGACGTGTTGACATGCGCCTGTAGTCTTAGCTACTGGGGAGGCTGAGGCTGGAGGATCAATTGAGCCCAGGAAGTAGAGGCTACAGTGAGTCATGATCGCTCCACTGCACTCCAGCCTGGGTGACAGAATGAGACCCTGTCTCAAAACAAACAAACAAACAAACCCAAAGAAGTACTTTACCTATCATCAATGTTACAATAATATTTTTTTAAAAAGAAAAAAGATTTTGTTTCCGCTGATGTATTTTTCTTCTGTTCCAGGATTCAGTCTGGGGTCCTCTGTTGCATTTAGTTGTTATTTCTCTTTAGTTTCCTCCAATCTGCGATAATTCCTTGGTCATTCCCTTAACAAGTTTGGCTAAATTCAGGGGAAAATGCTGAGCTGTAGTTTCTTTTTATTTTTATCAGGAGCATTTTTCAGTATTATTCCCCAAATTTAGCCAACCTTGTTTTTTATGGTAGAAAAATGTTAATTTGCACCCTTCTTATTATAATTGTACCTACTATCCATCCGTGGCAGGATAAATTAGAAACTACCTGTTCACTTTATAAAATAAGGTACTTCAGTTCTTCAGTAGTTCTTGTGACTATATGGTGAATTCAATTTTATATTTTCCTTTGATTGAAGCAATAAAAAATATATTTTAAAATTCTCTTTATTAGGAAGTAGTTTTCATTTTTAGTAGAAGAAAGCAAATACACTTTTATATGTTGGCTTTCCTGCTACAGGTGTTCCATCTACACACGTAGAAAGAAAGTTCTTTCTTGCTTCTGGCATCCTTGGGTACTAAAACGTCTTTTTTTTTTTTTTTTTTTTTTTTTTTTTTGAGACAGAGTCTCACTTGGTCACTCAGGCTGGAGTACAGTGGTGTGATCTTGGCTCACTGCAACTTCAGCCTCCCTGGGCTCAGGTGATTCTCCCGTCTCAGCCTCTGAGTAGCGGAGACTACAGGCATGCACCACCAAGCCCGGCTAGTTTTTTATATTTTTTGCAGAGACGGGTTCTCACCATGTTGCCCAGGCTGGTCTTGAACTCCTAGGCTCAAGCAAGGCACTAAAGTGTCTTGTACCCTGGAGGGTAGGTGGTTCTTGGTCTTTGTGCTGCCTCAAGCCCCAGCCTGATTAGTATGGAAGAAAGACTGGTTATCTTCCTAAAATGGGTTTGTACCTTCCCACCCTTTTTCATTTACCAGCAAGGAGACAGAAAAGGACTAGCTAGAGAGATCATAGAGCCAAGACCAAGTGTGCCCTCGAAGCTAACTAAAAGTTTCAAGGAGATGGCAACCCAGTGTGTTCCATGCACTGGGGATATGGCCCTCACAGACCTTCCTCCTAATAGGGAGATCGAGACAGCAAACAAGAAAAGCAAATATTTAGTATGTCACCTGGTGATATTGATACATGGTTTGGAGAAAAGCAATGTAAAGGAGGAAGGGAATGTGATAGGGTGGTATTATACTTTACATAGGGTTTTGGGAAGGCATCACTGATAAGGTGTATTTGAGCAGACACCTGAAGGAAAAATGACACCTGACATGTTCGTTCTGGAGAAGACTGTTTCTGGCAAAGGGAACAGCAAAGATAAAGATTCCAAACTTGTCTGGCATATCCAGGAAAGAGCAGTGAGGCCTTTGTTGCTGGAGTAGAGCCAGTGAGGGAAACAGTGGTAGGAAATGAGGTCAGAGAGGTAGTGAGAGGCCAGGAGATACAGGGCCCTATAAGTCATTCTTAAATGGCATCTCAAAATGGCATCTCAGCCATTATCAAGTGAGGAGGCCTCACTCCATTGACAGGCTTTCCGTAGAAGAGTAAAACAATGACTAAGCTCTTGTCTTTAGGACAAGAGCCAGAACAGGGAGACAAGTTAGGCTAGTAGAATAACCCAGATGGGAGCTGATGGTGGCTTTTGACTAAGGTGATAGTGGAGGATTTGAGAAGTGGTTAGATTGCAGATATGTGTTGAAAGTAGATTCACCAGTATTTGTTGAAGGATGAGATGTGGAGCGTGAAGGAAGGAGACGAGTCTAAGCTGTTTCTCAACTTTTTAGTATTACTGATTGGGAGAATAGAGCTTCAATTTACTGATTTGTGGAAGACTGTAGAAAGAGCAATTTTGGAACAGATGGCATGGAGATCAGGGATTTGAAATGCCTATTAGATATCCAAGTAGACAGATTAAACTGTCAATTGAATATACAAGTATGGAGTTAAGGGGAGAGGCCTGTGCAGCATATTTGGGAGTTGTCAGCCTATAATGGTATTTAAAGTCATGGGTCTGGTTCAAGCTCATTCTTATTGGTTAAAAAAAAAAAAGAAAGAAAGAAAAAGAAAAAAATGTGTAAAAAGTGTTGTGGGACTGGGTGAGATCACCTGTGGAGAAGGGTGGAGCTTCCCTGGAGTAGAGGACTGAGCCTTGGGGCATTACAACATTTAGAGGTTGGGAAGACAACAAAGAACCAGCTAGTGAGGACTGAGAATAGAGCACTGGATTTAGCAACATGGAGATCTTTTGGTGTCCTTTAAAAGAATCATCTCCCTGGAATGATGTGGTGAGTCTGAAATAAAATGCAACGAGAAGAATCAAAGACAGTGAGTGTAGACATTTCTTTCAAGAAGTTATGCCATAAAGGGCAACAGAGAAATGGGCAGTAGCCAGAGGGAATGTGGGTACTAAGGAGGTTTGGGTTTTGTTTTGTT